CAGAGAATGACCCAGAACATTGGTTTATGTGCCCACATTCTCCTGCTGAACAACAGGGCATGCTCAGGGGCATCAAAAGCAGGAGAGGACCCAACTCGTGCTCTAGGACCCTACAAGGGAAGGGCATTTTATCACCAGGGAACACTGTGGGCAGCAAGCAAGAATGGAGCCCAGGAACTCAAGTATCTCCAGTATCATCAGCCAGCGGCGATTTCCAGGAAGATGTCCCAGCAAGTAGCCAGAGCTCCAGAAGTACAGATATTTATGGACTTTGAAAGACAGGCTCTCTTCTCGTGCTCTGGATAGCACAGAGCCCCGCTGCCGGTGGGCTACTGCGGCTGGGGGCTCATGGCAGCAGCAAGGGCGTGCGAAGCACCTGAGTGTCCGCTCACCTGGCTTGGTCAAGCAGAAGGGACACACCTCCTCCCCAAACCAAAGTGCCTGAAGCTAAACCACCTTCTCTCCCTAAAGGATGAAGTGCAGAAAGATTACTGAAGATGTATGAGGGATGGGCTGTCATCTCAATCTCCCTTCCTACTTGTAATTTTGTTTCCCTGACTTTGAAGAATAGGATAAGCAAGCTAGAATGTTGAGAAAGGACATGATTCCATTGAAACGAAAGGTTTGAAAAACAAAGCAAAAGTACACAAATTATTTGTATAAAATAATTGTTAGAAGTATTGCCACTGTTTGTTGGTTTAGTAGCTCAGTCGTGTCTGACTCGTGCGACCCCATGGACTGTAGCCCACCAGGCTCCTCTGTCCATGGGATTTTCCGGGCAACAGTACTGGAGTGGGTTACCATTTCCTTCTCCAGGGGATCTTCCCGACCCAGGGATCGAAGCCTGGTCTCCTGCACTGCAGGCAGATTCTTTACCAACTGAGCTACGAGAGAAGACCATTATTTAGATTTGTAATAAATGCATCCTTGAAATTTTTGGGAAAAGGAAATCATTTTAAATGTACCTGAAAGACTGGAGATTTTCATACATGCTACTAGAACTCCATTTGTGAAGTGCACAATCTTTTTATGAAACAATTTACACCAAAAGTGCCTTCTGCAATCATGGGCCTCTACAATTCCTTCTTAGATCCACATAAACAGGGATACATAGATACACAACATGAAGTTGAGACTGAGGGGCAGGCAAAGAGAACGTGGAAGAGAACATACACTGCCCAGCATCCTCTACAGATGATCTGGTTATTTATCTGTGAGGCCCAGGAGAGAAAACAGCTCTGTATTCCCTGGAGCCCCAAATACAAGCAGTGTTCCTTCCCACAGAGCCAACCCTGCCCGTTCTCAGCCCGTCCTCTCTCCTATCTTCTGCAGAGCATCTGCAGGCCTGAAGCCACCCGCCTCTCGCAGACAAAGGTAGGGAAGGCGGCCCAGCGCGGACACGGATCTCAGCAGAGATGTGTGCAGGTGTGCCAAGGAGCCCTGGCCACCCCCGGGGTGGGGAGGGGGGAAAACAGCCCCAGTGTCCTCTATAGGAACACATCGAGCTAGCCAGGTGGCCGAGCCCACAGACTCCGGGGACGGCAGGGAACCGGACAGGCTGGTGCTGGGCATGCATGGAGCCTCGGCCCTGAGGAGGCACACCTGTGCACACAGGAACGGGGAGAGGATGTGGACCAGGGGGATGAGGCCACACACTCAAGCACTGCAGGCCTGGCCAAGGAAGGCTTAGCCAGCAGGAGGAGAAGGGACAACAGAGGATGAGATGGCTGGATGGCATCACCCACTCAATGGACATGAGTTTGAGTGAACTCCGGGAGTTGGTGATGGATGGGGAGGCCTGGCGTGCTGCAGTCCATGGGGTTGCAAAGAGTCGGACACGACTGAGTGACTGAACTGAGCAGAGAGGACTTCGTTTTTCTTCCCTCTGTTGTTTAATTTCTTTCCCCTCCAAGCTTTGTCTTTCCGTGATGAAGGAAACCTGGGTGTTCAGGGGGCAGGAAGAGCTCACAAAGACAGCCTTGAAGATGATGGCCTGCTCAAGAAGCCCATGGCCCCAGGACTGAGTTGCCTGAGCAGAATACCTGAGTCCAGGGCTTTACTTCAGTGCTGAGGGTGGTGGGATGAATGGCTGCTTAGATACGACAGTTTTAGCATCACATTTTTTTCATGGCGTGTGTGTGTGTGTGTGTGTGTGTGTGCCACTCAGTCGTGTCTGACTCTATGGGACCCCAGGGACAGTAACCTACCAGGATTCTCCAGGCGTGAATACTGGAGTGGATTGTTTTCATTGCTTAGAAATTTTTTAAAAGTTTTATTTTGGTCCTGGGTACAGCAAAAGGAATTGCAGCGCACGATTTTAGGTCTTTGTTTGGTTTCACCAGCAAAGGTCACATGAACATGGAGAGAGGCCCTCAGACAGTCACCTTCACATGCTTTTGGGGGGTGTTGGAGAGAGTTACAAAAGAGAAAAGAAAAAAAACAAAAAACAAGCAGGAGAGGTCAGGGAGCCCTAGAGTAATTTGTTGCTAACAGCATGGTCACCAGATGTGGGAAGTACCTCCCCATAGGGCAATTAAAAACCAAACATTCTCCTTGTCTGCTTGAATTTATGTTAAAAGATAGATCACTTTTTCCTCTCTCTTTTCTGGAAAGGGTAAAACCTTTGATCCTCACCAAAGTGAGGGAGAAAGCAAATTGTACTTATGTATTTACTAAAAGCTATGATAGGTTCAACCACAACTAAAATAGAATGAGCTAAAGTACTTCAGTGTCAACTGATGCATTCATATACTATGAATACTCATAAGGCAACCAGCCATCCCCAGATATTTTCAACATGACCAGTAAAAAGTACAGAATTTTGAAAGGCCGAACACCAAATCAGAGTGACATGTGACTGGATAGAAGGCTTGGAAAATAAACCTCTGGGCTTGTGAAAAGAAACAATACAGCTGACCTCTGAGCAACAGGGGAGTTAGGGGCAATGAGCCCTGTGCAGTTGAAAATCCACATAGAATGTTACAGCTAGCCTTCTATATCCAGGGTTCTGTACCCAAGGATTCACCCAACCAGGGATCATGCAGTAGTGTAGTATTTACTACTGAAAAAAATCCACATATGTGGACTGGCTGGGTTCAAACCCATGTTGTCCAAGGGCCAACTGTATTTTCCCATGCACACAGCACTTATTAATCTCAAAAGTATCATGTGAAGGCTATCCTTCCAAGACCTCAATTATCTGCACAATTGATGATTTTGTGCATTTTCAACAGAATTGCCTTTTTGAATGTTCAGTGTCTTGTCTCTGCAAAAACTGTTCCCAGGTTTTATTCCCTTTGAGTCTGCAATGATGAAATGTTGCTCACTGCTTGTCTTATGACTTTGCAACTATTAACTTCATAACATATAGCAAATACACAGTGTAGTATACAGACAGGAAAAATTATCTGTGTACTTACAAAAACCAGAGGAAGAAAAGTTTATTTGAGAGATAAGATTTGGAAAGGCAAGCTTGGGTTTCATTGGGAATTGAAGTGTAAAAGTTTTAAGTTCCCCTAAGATGTCTAGACCAATGTATAGTCTCCTTTGTTCAGGGCGATGACTTCTAATCTTAGATTTGTGACACCCTGGGGTGTCTCCATACATTCTCTGGAAATGCGCTAAAATTCCCTCCACAAAAACGCTAAGTAAAATAATTTAAATTCACTTAAAAACTATGCTACATATGTTTGGAAGCAAGGCCGGATGTCCTGGAATCAAGAGAACAGTTGTTAAGTATTATAAAAGCGTGCTAGCTGTCAATTACATTTTAGTCTAAACCAACTGATGAAGAGGTACAATAAACAAATGAAATCATGTAAGATAAGGAAACCTGTATGGGTGATTTTATAGTTGGAGGAGACAGCGAAGGCGCTGGTTCTTGTTGTTACACTTTTTAAAAAGTAGAAAGATTTTTAAAAATTTGTTTATGGGTCTGCCTTGCTACCTGCAGGCCTTCTCCAGCTGCCCGGGGTTGGGGGTGCAGGCTTCTCATTGCGGTGGCTTCCTGTGTTGCGGGACACGGGCTCAAGAGCTCTGACTCAGGAGCTGTGGTGCGTGGGCTCAGCAGTCTGGGGGCATGTGGGAGCTTCCTGGACCAGGGATTGAACCCGTGTCCCCCGCACTGGCAGGCGGATGCTTCTTCACCACTGAGCCACCAGGGAAGCCCCTGGGACACCATGTTTCTGGAAAACCCTTCTGGACCTCTTTGTTTACTAAGGCATGGATCAGCTTGGCCTGACAACTGGAAACCCAGTCACAGCTCCTTGCCACCTGTTTGCACTAGGGCTCTGGGGCCTTAACGTTGCTTTGAGGATCTCTCTTTCGTATCAGTTTCTTTAAAACGAACAAACAAATAAATACCAACCACAGGCAACAGCAGCTAGACACGGTAAGCTTAATTTTGACAGTTTTCCCCTCTGGTTGACTTAAATTTTATCCTGAGGTTACACGGAATTAGGTATTACTGCTCTGCAAAATCCACTTCTTAACTTCCCTGGTCACCACGTTTTTACTATAGCTTCCAAGTTTCCAATAAGATTTCCTGGTGAGTTGCTCTCTTAGGCTTCACAGCGTTCTTTATTCAGAACACCCACTGCGGTTGTCTGACAAATCTGAACATTGATTTCTTCAAGAGCCACACACATCTGCACTCAAAAATGACATCACTGGAAAAAAAAGAACTTTTTTTTTTTTCATTAAACAGGCCTGCTTTTTCCCTAGAGAACCCAACTTCACTGTTTCCTTTTTATTTTTCATATCATTGCCTATTTAAACTTAGACCCACAAGAATTCCAGTGAGAAATTTTTTTTTTTTTACCAAGTAATTTTCATTTAATCCTTCATCCACCTTCTGTGCCGAGCTGACCAACAGAAGTTCCTTTTTTTTTTTTTTTTTTCAGAAGTTCCTTTTAAACGAGGTCTGTTGAATCATGCTTCAACAGTCGTCTGAAGAATCAAACATCTGAAAGTTACAGAAGAAAAGAAGAAAAAAAAAGTACACTTGCCTTATTTGTCGCAGTAGCACTGGATCCAGGGACCACGGGCACATTCGTCACTTGAACCGAAAGATAATTATTGTCTATGAGTGGCCAAGCCCCTTCCACTTTGCATGTCTGGAAGTGATCCTTGAAAGTTCTAAGGTGAGGATCTCCGAACAAGCCACAGAAAAGGTAATTGGGAGGGCTCTGGTCCCCGCCCCTGTGTGCCCTGGCTCCCGCGTGGCTGTGATAGTTACAAGGGTCATGGGTCACTTCCGGGTCGGTAGACGACGTGGGTCCATCCTTGGAACAGTTCCTCTGGCTCATGAGGTCACTGATCCCCAACACAGCAGAATGGTACACGAGGTTACCACGGCAGGCTTTGGAAGTCCGCTGGGTGCAGCCAGCGTAGGCCCGCAGAGCCTTGCAGAACTCAGAGTCAAAGCCGTCGACGGCGGAGTTCAGGTGCGAAGTCAGGGACACAAAGTCCGTGGTGCATTTCTGGATTCGACACTGGGCCGGCTGCTGGCAGTCACCTAGGAGAAAGAAGGGTAAGACCGACTGTTTTAAAAAGGCTTCACAGCTTTCTGAGCTGCATGAGAAAACGACATTCTCCTCTGGGAACTCTTTGTTCTATTTCCTATACTCCTATTTTAAGAAGGCCTTCAGAAATAGGGTTGCATTGTGGCTTCTTGGCCTCTCACAAAGTAAGCCACTGGGAAAACCACTGCATGCAGATGGTCAACTTAACAACTAAAGCAGGGGCCATTGCGAGTGAACAGGAGTTTAGCCAGGTGTTCTTAGGCTAAACTACAAGGGAACGATAAAGGAAATATTTTATCAACTTTGCTCTTGTTTATAGATTTTGAGAAAGATCCCTTTGCTCTAAGGCCAAGTCAAAGATGGAAACTTTGTTTTGATTTTGAAAATTGCGTAAGTAATTTGCTTTGAAAAGCACTGTTTGTACACAAAACCATGAGTAAAGCCTGCACACTTCAGGGAGGGGAAACTTAAATTATAGCGTGATTAGTTAAAACACCCTTACCAGATTCTACTCTGGCTATAGGGAAAGAATATCAGGAAAAAATCCAGGTACTAAGTTATTCTGTCTTTCTTGAGAAATGTTTACCAACAAATGCGTATAAACTAACACACATAATCCCCTGGTTTCTACAGTGTAAATGATCCTTTGAAAAAGTTAAGTGACTGATTTGACCAAGCTAGGTATTCACTATCCCATAACATCAATCACCCCAGGATTCTAGCTCCTCAACAGTTCACAGTAAAAGTATACTAACTCAAAATGTACACAACCCTGACAGCTGATCCCACCAACTATGTTTTTTTCTAGAGACAGAACCAGAGACAGAATTCTTTGAGTATATATAAAACTACTTTTCCCCCTTAAATCAATGATTCACATAAACTTAATGATTTAAGCAAAGCTAACATAAAGTACTGAAACATCATACGATTACTACCCTACTATTTAAACAGTAAGTTTTCAAATTATGGTTTACCCCTAACTTTTTGTACAAAAGTTTGCAAAATCTCTCAAAACACAAAACCCACAGTGAACTGCCAATACTAGGTCAGTGTGTGTACTCATCAGTTTAATGTTGTATTCCTTAAAATGAGAACACCAGAATCACAGAAAAGAAAAACAGTGTTCTTTATTGTCCACCTCAAATTTGATAGAAATGAACTGTAACATATATTTGTGCTACCTGCACATTCTTTATAGGTATCTCAACTATGGAGGAGCCTCAATCTCAAGTCTTAGGTTCCTCATCTGAGAAATGAGTAGGTTGTTCTAAAGTAAATTCTGTGATCTTTTCTAGGCATGAAATATCCGAGGGGGTGCATCAGTTAGTAAAGTATTATTAAATGTGAAATTATTCAAGATTTAGGCATAACAAAACTTCAGGATGATATCAAGATTTAGGACATTATCTGATAAAGACTTAAAACTAACCCTAATAATCATCGTAGAAAGATATTTTAGTCTTTTCAGTAGTAAACTGCTTTTCAATGAGTGAAATAGCCTGTAATCTTTGTTCAAGGCATCAGCTGGGAAAACAAGGAGTAGAAGATGACAACCTCATAAGGCACTTCCCCAACCATTCCTAAGTTTCCAAAACCAAAAAGGGAAAATGTAGTCAAGACTGGATATCTGACTTAACACAAGTAAAAGAGAAGATTAAAATATTTTACTATTTTGGAGCTGTGAATTTACAGCTATTACTTAAAGGCACTAAATAAAAATCACAGATACATCTTTATGCATATGGCCTCTTTTTTTATTTTCTCATTCCAAAGTTGACAAAAGCAGCTCTAGTATTTATAGAATTCCTCTCTACGAAGTAGATCAAATCATCTTTCAACTGTTTTTACTCAAAAAGGCAAAAATGGAAACAAAAAAATAAGACCAGCCAACAACCCCCAAAGTGGCATTAAAGCCATTTTATGGATGGGAAAGTCAAGACAAAGGGACACTAAAGGCCTTGTCCTGGCTGGACTGTAAACTGCCAGCATGAAGCCCAGGACATGATGCCTTTCCTCAAATCTCGTTTTCATTCCCCCAACAAAATTTCTGATTTTCAAGACAGTACTTTATAGCTTTAGGAAAAAAAAAAAAGACATCAGGAACAGCGACATCTTTTCTCTTTTTCTTTTAAAATCAGATTCACAGCAAGCAGTAAGCAAGAAAATAAATATATAAGCCAATGCTCATTCAGTAACGAAGAGCTATTGGACAATGCATAAATGACAGCACAAGAACTTTCCGCTAAACTTGCAGTGCCTATTCTGTTCTTTTTATGGTCTATAAAATCTAGCCGAGCGTACACTTACTTATAATTATTTCAAATAGTCATAAAAATATCAAAAGTAAGACCAGCAGATGCAACTGTTTAGAAAGGAAAAGCAGAATCTAGACTCCCAGATCCTTTTTTGTTCCCTTCCTCCCTTCCCCATGCCCCTTTTCATAGCAGGTAGGTGCTGATTCCTTTGAGAAATCTCAGACAAAACACAGTTCCTTGGATTCCTATGTTTTGGATGAGGTTTCTAACAGACTTTTTGAATAGAGATGGTGGGATGGAGGAGGGCTAACCAGAGAGAAAGTGCATGTGGGTCAGCAGTTTCAGCCCCATCACAGGCTCCTGTATATAATGACTAATTTGCAGCATACATCCAGAAATATCCAGGCTTCATGAATTTATAATGACAATGCACACTTTGCCTGTAAGAGGCGGTAAAGTAAGCCTCCTGTCAAAATGCCAAGACAATGCAGAGCAGAAACAATTTCAAGGATGCAGCCAAGATAACCATGAAGTGTATGAGTAAGCAAGGAACTCCCATACTGGATCTCCATTCAGGAACTGCAGAGGTTTACTTCAGGAAAAAAAAAAAAAAGGAAGACTAAAGGTATTCTTTTCACTTCCCAAGGGCAGAATTCAAAATCTGCAGCTACAGATCTATTTTTTTCAAATCATACCATCTATGATGTGATCGTATTTTCATCCCAGTAAATGAAGTTTACAAAAGGATTTGTTAGTCTAGAGCTCTCATGAATGATCCAGACATGAAGACCTCACCATTCAAGGCGGTTTCTGCAATGTCAGGCCTGCAGCCCAATCATCAGATAATAATAAAAGAAATGAGATATGCTGAAATGAATTAAGTGAAACAGAGATCCATCTGGGGTGTGGAGGCAAATTATAAGGATCCAGGCATAAAACATATGGGGGCCCATCTGTAAAGAGCATGAGGTGAGGCTGGTTGCTCTGAGGAGACACAACCCCTGCATTTCAATAGCACCATTCTTCAAAGAAATCTCTCAAAAGGAGCCCTCTTTCCTAAAAGCAGATTAATTGCTTCATTCCAAAAGCTATCCACAGATATCACTCACCACAGCAACTCTGGGTAGAATCTAATGGGGACTTCAGTGTGAGCACATTAGGATACTGAGAGGAGTTTCACATTCCAAGTTCTTGAACTAAGGCACCTTAATTTTCTAAACCTTTAAACCAACTTCTTAGGCCTTTCAGAGGCCATAGAAGAAAGCTTCAAGGACCACATTCCAATCCTGTTACTGGACCCTGTGGCAACTAAAGGAAACAATATCTAAGCAGTCAAGAGGGTCACAGTCCTGCCCACCAGCTCAATTTCCATTTCAAGAAATCTACACTTTGACATTATGGACACTTTTTTTTTTGTTTTTATTTTTTCTCACACAAAACACTCCTGACTATATTTTTTGACACGTCATAAAAAGTTTTCCATGCAACCGTGAGCAGACTGACTTTATTTTCTAAGGTTCTAAAATCATGAATTAAAAACCTTCGTCATTGTAAAACTTGCTATTTACACTCTCTATTAAGACTTCAGTCTGCTTCCATAAGTGACAGTGTTAAAATGCAGCTGTTACATCACAATGCAAAGTTACGCAAAACTAAATTTAGTCGTCTGCTCAAATGTCACATTTTTTCCCCATTACTTAAAAGACCTCCCGGATTTTTAACACCGCTGGTATGACTTAATAAATAAATAAAAATTAACTCTGGCACAGTTGGGTGGCATTACAGTTCAGTATTCTCCAGATCAGAGCGTTGTGATTGCTGCCCCACAAATACAGGACAAAAAGATCTCAAAGGATAACGTATCTAATGCTCCAGGTGCTCTCAAACTAAAAGATAAATTGTCTTTTTCAATTTGGCACTGAAAAAACTTTTTGTCTAGATATGCTCCTAGGGATGGTACTTGTTTGTAAAGGGCGTTCTAGACGTTTTCCCCCCAGCTTTCTTGAGCTATAACTGACATATATCTTTGTGTTAATTAAAAGACCTTAAAAAGAAAAACAGGCAATACACGCTGGAAGGCTCATCGTCGCTAAGACGAAAAGGTTTTACTTCGCTAAGAACAGATTCCTCACTGCTGCTTCCACCAGGGAAGTTCCCAAAGGCAAGAGATTGGTCACACTCTCCTGGGAACCCCTCAAAACACGCGGCTAGCCACAAAGCACGAAGTTTTTCCAAAGAGGGGGTGAAAGCTGAAATTAAAAGAGGCTTTCGCAAATATGAAAGCGATCCCAGTTTAAAGAAGTCCTAAGTGACTTCGAGATGAACCCCCAGGTTTTCAAACGGGTAGAATTATCTTCCCATCGGGTGCCATTTCTTCGCCTCGACGCCACCCCCAACTCCAGGGCAGCAACAGCAACCAGGCTCCTCGTCTCCCCAGCCTAGGAGGCGAAGGCGGCGGCGGCGGAAACCTGATCCCAGCCTGACTTTCAGTAAAACACCCATGCAGAGAGCAATAAGGCATCCGGAACGTTTGTCTCGGGAGCGCAGCCCCCCGCCCGCGCGCTACATCTTTGATAAGTGTATGCGGGAGGAGAGATCCATCCACGGTCCGAGCAGAAGGCGGGGACGGCGGAGACGGCGGGCGGGAGGCAGGGCGAGAAGCCGCTCCCGTGTGCCCCGGGCGCGCCGCTCGGTCGGCGGATGTGTTCCTGCGGCGCGCCGCCAGCCCGGCCACGGTGCGGGTCAGGAGTTGCGGAGGCCTTTCCCGCCCCGGCCAGCGCCTTCTGCCCCCCGGGGGTGGGGGGATAGGGGAACCCAGCCCCCGCCCCCACCCTAGAGGCGGCTCCCACCCGCCCCGCGCGAGCGTGCCCCCCGTACCTGCATGAAGCAGCCCGAGGCTGAGCAGCAACAGCAGCAGCAGCGCCAGGGGCGGCGGGCCGAGCCCGGGGCGGCGGCGGGGGCGACGGCGCTGCTCAGCCCCGGCTGCAGCGGCTGAGGAGGCTGGGGCGGCGGCGGCGCAGGAGGGCGATGCTGCTCTCAAGCCCATGCCCGTCCATGCAGCTCTCGTGGGCTCCGGCGAGGGCGGCGGCGCGGGCGCCGTGGCGGGTCCCGGGCCGGGGCGGCGGCATGGGCCGGAGGGCGCGCCCCGCTTCCTCTTCTTCCTCCTTCAGCCCCGCGTCGGACGCGGGCCGCCGCCGCCGCCGCCGCAGGAGCAGCAGAAGCGAGCCGGGTGCCGCGGGCGGAGCGCGTCGGCGGCGTCGGCCGCGGGGAGCGGAGGCATCGTGGCGGCCGGAGTCGGCGGGCGGGAGGAGGGCGGGCGGGGAGGGCGGAGGGCGGGGAAGGAAAAGACACAAAGACAGTGAGCGAGTGCGAAGCCCGGCCGGCAGCGCGCGCGCGGGGCGTCCCCGGGCCAGCGTGGGCTCGGCTGGCGCGGAAACGCACCGGACGGAGCCCGGAGCGGCGGCCCGCAGCCGCCGGCGGCCCCGATCGCTCTGTGCCGCCGGGCCCCCCGCGCTCGAGCAATCTCAGCCCCGCACTGCCGCCCCGCCCCTCCCCAAGCCCCACCAATCCGCGCCGGCCCCGCCCCCGTCACGCCCCGCCCGCTCTAACCCCATTGGCCGAGAGGCGGGCGCTCTGTACTCAGGCGGTCACTCATAGGACCCCAAGCGCCCGCCCCGCCCCGCCCCCGCCCCTCCAGGGCTCCGCCCCCTGCTCCCAGCCTCCCCGGGGTGATTCGAGTTCCGCGTCCAGCCTGCCGCCAGTCGGGTCGGCGGCGCTGCGGCCCAGCCTCCCTGCTGCTGGTTGAGGCCTCCGAGCTCCCCTCCACCCTCTCCTGCAATGTACTGTCGCCCCGCGCCCAGTGGAGACGGGCGACTGCAGCTCCGTCGTTACAAAGGAGCCGGCCTTTGGCCTCTCCGAGAAGGAAAGTGATCGGGTTCGACGTCCCTCTCCGTAACGCATTTATTTAGATAACCGCTCCCCGACCCTGTCCCTGCCCTATGGCCCTGGCACCTCAGAGGAAACGGGCGCGTTTATGCCTAGCGCCCGGCGGCAGGTCCCTTCGAGGCCAATCGCATCTGCTGAGCCGCCTTCTGAGCCCGCTGCGGACTTTTTCTTTTTAAGTTCCGTTCAGTTCAGTCGCTCAGTCGTGACCGACTGTTTGCCACTCCATGGACCGCAGCATGCCAGGCCTCCCTGTCCATCACCAGCTCCCAGAGTTTACTCAAACCCATGTCCATCGAGTCGGTGATGCCATCCAACCATCTCATCCTCTGTCGGCCTTTCTCCTCCCGCCTTCAATCTTTCCCAGCATCAGGGTCTTTCCAAATGAGTCTTTTTTTTTTTTTCTTTTTTTTTTTTTAGTAAAGTCAACGCCTTCTGAGCTCATTCGGGACTTTCGGTAAAGCCAGTCGCTTTGGAAATGCGAATGTGACCCGTGGTCCGGAACGAATCGGATGGCCTGGGAAGGTAGCCGCCAGCTCCCTGGTGGGGCTTGCGGGCAGCTGTGCGAGGCTCCGGTGTTCCTGTCACTCTGACATTTTTCCCTTCCTGAAAGCAGTTGGGGAGGGGGGTCTGAGAGTAGGGGGAACGTCTACGTGTTCTGTTACACTGTAGTTAGATTCATGAGGATAGTGAGTTTTTAATGCAGTGTAATTTTATACCATGATCTGTTGTTGCTCCGTGGCTTTTCCACAAATGTTCATCGTCTATTAGCAAATTAATTCAATAGCAGTTCCGTTTCTACTTTTGCGATGGGATGGTTCCAAAAATGAGAGGGAAACCAATTGCTGGCGGGAAAAGAGGCTTCCAGAGATACAGGAAAGCATGTTTTATGAGGTCGATGATAGGTTCCAATTTGTTATCAGCAGGTGTGAAGTGGTATCTAATCTCAAGAATGGCCTCAAAGGCCAGGAACCACTTCATACTGTCCTCGTCTTTGCCTTTCTCCAACGGTCCAGTGTTCTTGTCTGGAGAATCTCCTGCACAGAGAGCCTGGCGGGGCTACAGTCCGTAGGGTCGTAAAGAGCCCGACACGACTGAGCGACTTCGCACAGCGCAGCAGCACCGCAAACGGCAATGGGCTGCCATTTAAAATTCACTTATATTCAAGTCGCAGTCTTCAACTCTACCTGCTACATTACTCAGAATCCCTAATTTAGGAATTTTCGTATCAAACACGGACATGTTAGTATTCCACATGTTAAAAAGTGCCAATCAATGGACCAGGATAATTGAGGGCAAACTTTCCATCGCTTCAGCTTACTCATTACACACGTTCTGAATTATACAAACCACTAGCTCCCTAATGAAGGATGCCTATCTATTTTTACTGCAACTTTTCATTACTTACTTATTACATACTATGATGACTCAAGTGGTAAACACACCTTTCACTGCCCACGATATAACCCAAGGCTTGTGTGTATCCATAATATGCTTAATAGTAGCTTCAGAGTTGCCTAGAGAAATGACTTTGGGGGGGGGGGAGTTATGTGATATGATTTTTAGGTGATACTGTGAAGTAAATACTGTTAAGCCCCAAATTGATTTTCTTGCAATTACTACATATTACTAGTGAAATCAAGTCAATGAAACCCTGGTAAACCTCTTTTTCAAAGTAATCAATGTAAACAGCATCTTTCAAAGCATTTTGCTAACAAAGACTAATAGTAAGATGTTTCCTCTTCCTTAACCCAAGATTTAGTTCGACTCCTATGAAAGAAGAATCCCACTTTATTGACCATACTTTAAAACATGTAGCCAAGAGTTAAGGGTCAAATTCAGTTTAGTATGAGTTTAGTTTGAGTTCAGGAGTTTTTTCACTCCTGATTTTCTATAATTTTCCTCCCTTTCCTCTTCTCCCTCCTATATCCTGTTCCTTAAGTACATGGTTGCTCTAGATTTTACCAACAGAGGGCACCCCCGAGTCACTGCTCGTCCTAGCGTCCCGAAATGGAACTATTGTTCCTCAGAGGAAAAACTTCATTTCTTTTGAGGCGCTTTATTGCTCCTCTGTTATAAACATTTGACAAGCCCAAGGTTTATACGCCTAAGAATTCACTTTTTATTGCTGCATAAGTGTTCAGCATGCTAGAGGAAAATGTTAATTTTCACAATTAAACAGCAAGGTGGTTCCTATTTTCAGGACATTAGGGTTAGTTGACACATTCGCCGGGTACATTCGGACTGTTAACAAGATCCCAAGTCAGCTTGGGAAGCAGGAGCGTGGTGAATGGTCAATTATAGCGAACCCACTTCCCCAGCTAGTATGCCACAAGTTAAGGAGTCTTAAGACTCTACAAAGAAAAATCTGGAGAGGGAGGTAGAACACAAACATAAAATCGATGACTTATAAAAGTTTTATATTTTAATAAAAAAGAAAACCATGACGTGACAGCTTGCACAACTCAAACAAATCCACCCTGTTTCTTGCCCCTTGTAGTCTTTCTTCCTTCCTCTTTGTTTTCAGGAAGAAAAGAGGACACCAGAACAGCACAATTAGGGGACACAGGAGAGCATCCCACAGTATGAAGGTGCCAAATGGGTAGAAATAAAGCACATGCCAGCAACATTAATGGATTCTAAACAGACGGGGTTTCTTTTCGTGAACCTTTACATGATGTCTAACCCCTGTTAATACCCAGAATCTCCATTTCCAGAGATCTACCAGGACCCTCTTCTAACAGACCACCCCGGGGCAGAGGAGCCAGGAATCAGACCCAGGGCTGCGATGTGTGCCACCCATTTTAGAGGAAAGATTCCGCGCTGGTCCCCGGCAAAGCCGGGGAGAAGCAGCCCGGAGCCCTACGGCCCGGCGGCTAGCGGCTTGTGTATGGTACTTACATCATTCTTAACCCTTCCGCTCCTGGAGGGGGCTTGGCGGGATCGGGGGACCCCTGAGCTCCGGAACACGCAGCACCTGGGTGTGACAGAGGAGTTCCAGGGCCGGGGGTGAGCACTGCGCCCCCGGAAGGAGAGGGCCCGGGGCGTGCGTGGGGCTCATCACCCGCTCGTACCCGACTGGCCCCCGCGATCCCTGCGGGCTCAGCCGCGGCTCGCGCTGCTCAGAGCGGCAGGTGCAAAAAGCATTTGGGAGTCGCTTGCCAGCGCGCGGAGGTAATGCGCTTCCTGTCCATTTATCTCAGGAAACCAGCGCAGCCTTCCCTTCCAAACAGAATTAACCTCTCATTAGCCAGCCACTCATTCCCGAGAAGGCCTTAAAAGCTTTACCAGCTCGCTAATGTATTTAGGCTTTTCTTCCAGGCAAACGCAGCCGCTACCGCGACTGCCATCAGCGCCTGGGGTGGGGGTGGGGGTGGGGCGTTCCTCTGGGCTCCCCTGGGAGCCAACCGCTTACCTTCTCCGCCCCTCCCCCCTCCCCCCCCCCCCCCCCCGCCACCCCACCCAGCTTCAAGTCAGGGAAACTCTGGCCAACCCAGATCCCCAGGCTGTAATCACGGGCAGACCCGACATCGCTGAACCGACTTGCTGCGGGAAACAGCCCCAACAAGTCCCCACTGATTTCGCGAGCGCCCCTCGCATCAAAGCCTCCAGCTCTGCGAGCCTCACGGCACCGGCGAGGGTACCCGGGAAGGAACTTCGACGGCCAGCTGGCCCCGGGTGGTGGGCGCTGATTACCCCTTTGGGGCGCCAGCCCCCGTTCTCAGCACTGAGCAAGGTCGGGGATGGGGGGTGGGGGCGGGTAGTGTTCGCCGGGATCCGGCCTATCCAGCCGACGCCTTGAGTGGGGAATCCAGTGCGGTTCTAGGTCTGCACGTGGCAAGAAGGGGCCTTTTGCAGGGCTGGGCTTTTCTCACCCTGGCTCCCCGCCGCCCCGAGGCGGGCAGATTTATACCACACAGGTGGACGGAGACCTAAACAGAACAGTCCCGGCCGCTGCCTGCCGCTCGCCATGCCCCCCACCCCGGCCCTCTGGCCCACCGCAAACTTCAACAAAATAAACAACTCACCACAGGCATTCCCTTGTCTGCAGCACGACGCTTGCCAGCTGGGAAAATAAGCCGCAAGCCACGCGGCCGGGGCGCTGAGCGAGGCAGCGCGGCGCCCGCTTCTCTTTCCCCAGTGGGGGCGGCGGGAACGGGGGGGACCGGGGGGGGGCGGGGAGGGGGGGCTCGCCCTCCCGGTTCCCCGACTGTGAGGGAGCGCCCGAGGAGGCGCTGCGCCCTTGCAGCCGCTGCGATCTCTCCGGCTCCCTAGGGTAGGGCGGCGGGAGGCAAAAAGCCCTTAGCTGCGTCCTTGCTTTCTCCAAGCTGCTGTTTCTTCCCTCCCGTTCAGTTCAGTTCCCTCCCGTTATAAAAGACCAGATGAGGGTCTCCACCCCACCCCTCCACGTCTCCCCCTGCCGGCGCGCACCGGATCTGGGCAGCGCGGCGGCGGAGGGGCGCGCAGCGGCTGGCCAGGACGCCCAGCCTCCTGGTCCGCTCGCCCGCGTTCCGCCCGCCCCCACCACCCCCCGAGGGCCGGCACAAAGAGCCTTTCACGCGGCCAAAGCCACCCTCCTCGCCGGCCGCATTGCCTTTTGCTCCCCCCCACTCCCCCGCACCAACCTATTCCCCGTCGCTGGCTGTGCCAGCTGTCGCCAGGGCAGGGCCGTAGGGAACGTGGGCACGTGGTTCCTACTCTGCGCTTTTCCGCACAGACGCTGATGCCACCCTTTCCACCCCTTTCTTTCGCTGCCCACCAGCGGCGTCTAAATGCCTTCCTCGCTTTGCATACAAGATCTCTGAGTGTCTTCCTAGTATGTCTAAACTGGGGGAGGGGGGCAGTATTGGTCCTCTGGAGTTTCGCTGAAATAAGGAATCCAGCGATCTGTCCTGTCCCTCTAAAAGGGGCTTGAGTTTATAGCTTAGGACAAGCCCAGGACAACGATTTGGGAATCACGAGGGGGAGAGAGGGGCTTCCCTGGTAGCACAGTTGGTAAAGAATCAACCTGCAATGCCGGAGGCCTGGGTTCGACCCCTGGGTTGGGAAGATTCCGCTGGAGAAGGAAATGGCAACCCACTCCAGTATTCTTGGCCTGGCGGGCTACAGTCCATAGGGTCGCAAAGAGTCGGACACGAGTTAGCGACTAAACCCCCCCCGCCCCCCCACCAGGGGAGAGAGACATCTAAGACACAGGTGAGGAAGCGTGTTATAAAGAACAAGCCCAGCCCACGCAATGTTCAAGGGAAGACAGTCCCTTGGGTAAGAACAGAAGGTGGGATGGCAGCGGGGGGCTAGAGGGAAGGGACTAGCTGACCTTCCAAAGTTGAAAATCAGCACCACTGTTACTCAGCAGTAGCTATGATGATTCTGCGCAACCAAGGCCTGAGACAAGCGGGCTGCTTCTCCTCGTTGGGGAGGCCCAGCGTCTTGACCTAGGCATTTCACCTTCTGCCTCCTTAGAAGTTTCTCCGACACTCTCTAGCTTTTCTTCGCCTTCTGCAGTCCCACCTCTGGGGCTGTTCGGTCTGTCGCTAGAGGCAGCGAAGAGCAGGGGAAAGAGGGCGGAGTGGGAATCCAGGGAGCCGGTCCTTTAGGGACTTTCTGAAGAGGAGTCAGGCAACTGGGTCACTATCGCGAAAGGTGGGGTTAGGGGCAGTGGCCGGGTTCCTTCTGGTTCTGAAATCTTATGATGAGACACGCCCGCCAGCACCCTCTCTGTAGGTTCCTTTTTCCCTTTTAAAGCATTTATCCACTTGGCTTTATCTTCTCCAAGTGCCAATCAAATTGGGAAAAAAAAAAAAAAACCCAAAACTGGGGATGTTTCATGATAAACGTAAGACACATTGAAAAATGCTCTTTTTGCTACTGAGAATTTAAAAAAAAATAATCACCCTTAGCTTCTGGTCCACAGAAACAAGGAATTTTAATGTCCTCACTTTGAAAAGCCACTCCAACAATCAGTAGCTCAGAGCTTTGATTTAAAAACCTAAAGGCAAGCCTCCTGTGTTTTTCTTTTCCCTTCCACCAACACAAAGACAAGCTGCCACATAAAATAATGATGAACAAGAGTTCAAAGCAAGCCCAGGGAGCCAGCCCAGAGGACGTTTGCTAATGCAGCCCCAGTGCTTCACCACAGCCCCTGCTAAAGCTGGCTTTGGACAGCACATAAATAGTAGGCAGGAATTGCCAGACACCTTTCCCTTCACCCCTTCCCATAAATATTGGTCAGCGGAACCTGTATGCTAACTTGTCAGTCATCATGTAAATGCATTAATCAAACAATACACATAACTTTCCCTTAGCCTCATGGGGAAGTAGGATAGCTTCCCTGGTGGCTCAGAGGGTAAAGCGTCTGCCTGCAGTGCAGGAGACCTGGGCTCGAGCCCTGGGTCAGGAAGATCCCCTGGAGAAGGAAATGGCAACCCACTCCAGTACTCTTGCCTGGAAAATCCCATGGATGGAGGAGTCTGGCGGGCTACAGTCCATGGGGTCATAAAGAGTCAGACACGACTGAGCGACTTCATTTTCACTTTCTTTCATGATTCTTTCCAAAATTTTTGATTCACTACTCACTTTGGAATCTTTAGCCTTACTTCTCCCTCTGCACAAACTTGACTGTTTTTTGTGAATCCTTTCTGAAAGCAAAACAAAAAAAGGTGAAATTTCATAATGAAGTATTAATTTTTAAACTATAAATCTCTTGCTTCTTCAGTTTCAACAAAAGAATTTTAGAACTGCTTAGCTTTCATACTAATGCACACTTAAAAATTATAATATTGAAGAAATTCTTAAGTACACTTTCTTTGGGAAATATAAGTTATTGTTTAAACAATAGTGATGGAGGAACATTTTGAGCTTGTCTAATTCTGTTCCTTTCACTTCTATCCATCACACTACCCTCACGACTGTTCCATTCATATATGCTAACAATGGTTATATTTCTAATTAAATACCACACTGTATGTTTCATTAGTAAAAGAACATGGTTTATTTCCCATCCACTGCCCCCCCCCAATTCTTTATCTTTAGTGTTCCATAATTTTTTCTCTTATTTCATTTTAATCTCTTTTTCCTCATACCAGCCAGAATAAACCAAAGATGGGAATAGAAAAAAGACAGAAAAATAGCTTTCAGTGTTTGACTTAGCATTTCTCTATTGACTGTAGAGAAACCTTCTAATGATTCAATGTGCATTTGTACCATCCTCTGAATTTCCACTTACACGTGCTAGAACTTTAGCATTTAAAATGTTCAGCTAATGTACACATTCAACTCTCCAGCTGTCAAGTTCATAGTTTGTTTACTTTTGATATTTCTAAGTTTGTCCTTTTGCAAATTGAAAGAGTAACCTCAATGATCAAGCACTATATGAATCCAGTTTTCAGATTCTCTTGTTTTCCTTTCCTTTTTTTTTTTTCCATGTATTTTTGGCTGCCCTGGGTCTTTGTTGCCGCACACCAGTTTACCAGCTTCCTCCAGTCGCAGTGAGTGGGGGCTGCTCTTTGTCTTGTCCTTTGTGGACTTCTTACTGAAGTGGCTGCTTCTATCCTGGGGCTTGGGCTCCAGGCCCAGCAGGCTCAGTAGTTGTGGCCCAAGGGCTTTGTTGCTCTGAGGCATGTGGGATCTTCCCGGACCAGGGATCGAACACATGTCCCCTGCATTGGCAAGTGGATTCTTAGCCATGGGGCCACCAGAGAAGTCCTGTTTCCCTTTGCTTGCATATGCTGTTGTAATTCTTCTCTAGTTTTGGGTTAATGCTCAGATCTATTTACTCATAAAGTTTGAGAATTATTGTTATTGCTAATAAATCACACTGTTTTAAATATTAGTAATACCAGTAATAAGACTGGTAAGGAATAGAATACTTATATAGTAATGCTGGGAGAAAATGCTACTTTTTACA